CCTACATACATTGAGATAAAGTGCAATCGTAAATGTGTATTTTGTGATGAAATTCATGTAGAAGTACTTAAATATGAATTTCCTTGCATGTTTTAATTTTTTTAAAAAAATCATATTAATGTGGAAATGGGACAGGATGAATGAACATGTGCAAAATCTACATTGATTGGAAAGAGACTGCTTCATCTTTTCCTATTAAAAAAAAAACCCTGCGCTTGGTAACACAGGCCTCAGTGAACTAGCAGGGAGCTGTCTTTGCTCTGCTTTCGCTGCAGGGGAAAAAACCACACACACCTCTGCATCCTGCTTCTCTTTTTACCCCTTAGGTATGGCTTGTACAATCTGAATGGAATGGCCTGGCCCAATTATCCTCCTTGCAGAGCTGAAAATTCCAGAGGTTCAGCAGCCTCGGAACACCCATTTCCTACAACAGGGTGTCCTGGGTCACTCAAGCCTATGTATCTCTGTGGGGGGAGGTGCTTAGGACCCAGTAGAATTCTCTCTGAATGACAGACAGTGCTTTAAAAGGCCAGGCAAAGCCCAGATGTGACAGCCTGTGCCATCCACAGTGAAACAGCAGTCACTACTGCAGCGGCAGCAGCAGCAGCCTCCCAGCCCCATTCCAGGTGCGGAGAATTCAACAGCAGCAACCCCTTCCTAGGGATTTTGTGCATCTCCTCTTCCTAGTCTTGGGCTACCTCCAGGGTGCAATAATTGCCTTGCTTAAGCTGCCTTCTCCCTGCAGCAGGAAAGGACTTTGATTCCACAAACAAAGCAGATCATTGTAAACAGGACAATAGTCCTTGTTCCCCGTTCATGGAGCTGGTACGAAAGCCAGCGGAGCATCACCGGTTTGCTGTCTAGGAAAATGGACATCACAGCAGAGCATGGGAAACTGATAAGCCTGTCAGCTCCTGAGAAGGAGGGGTGAGATCTGAAGCCGCTACTCCTGCCCTTGCTGGGAAGTTATGAAGAACTCGTTGCTCTGGAGGAGACAGAAGCCAGAGATGCTGCTGGCCAGTGAAGGACCATCAGCCTCACTCGACTTAGGTGAGTGACTTCTTTGTGGGTCCTTCTGGGGAGGATGTAGGTCTGAGACAGCATTGGGGCAAAGGCACATACCTCATCTGGTAAGGAGAAGTGCAATGGCAGATCATCTGCTCTGCATGCAGAAGGTCACCTGTTCAATTCCCAGTATGCCTGAAACCCTGGAGAGCTGCTGCCAGTTAGTGCAGGCAAAATTGAGCCAGTTGGACCAGAGGTCTGACTCGGTATAAGGCAGTTTCCTATGTTCCTCAGCAATACAAGCCCCTTCCACTGAACGGGCTCCCTGGACCTTTTGAGGGAAACAGCTTCCTTCATCTTCTCCAGTTTTGTATCTGCAATGTATTGGGTGTGACATTCCAGAAGGGGCAGGGAAATCTAGAAATACCCTGGTAAGAAGGCACAAGCAAAGCCTTTGCTTGAAATGCTAGGTCAAAATTGGCTCATCTGCATTCAAGGAGAGAGAGTAGAAACTGAAATGAAGAGCGAAAAAAAAGGAAGGTTGTGATAGAAAAGCTGCTCAAGAGGAGAAATGGAAAGAACTGCCTTACCTTGGTGAAAAGGAGTTTGCAGTCTAAAATGACAATTCAGTAGTTGGTACAGCAGCGAGGAATAAAGGGTATAAATGATATATACTTGTATAAGCCCTATAAACTGCCAAGTGGTAGTAAAAGGAAGGTTTCTGATAGAAGCACCTTCCTGCTTTCAAAACTGGTGAAATCAATTATGGAGGTGATTTTTCAAGTTAGTTTGTTGGCTTGCTTCAGATTTTTTTGGATTTATACCCCCTCCCCCACTTTCCTACATCCTTTCTGCAAAGCTGTTTCATCCCCCTTCCTTGCAACCTGTTTTATTTTATTGTAGGTCACTATTTGCACTTGCCTGATCTTTGTGGATCACCCCATTGTCTTATCTTACGGACACCATGTGGGAGGTTGCTTCAGAGGCTTCCAGATTATAATGCAATATATGCAGACAATGAGGAGAACTCTGAGGATAGCCACCAAGAGTCTCCAAAGCAGTTGTTTTTCAGCTTAAACATTGGAGCGTGCCCTCTTGAAGATTCAAGACCATTCCATTCCTCCACCCATCCAGTCCCCACAACAGCCAGTAACTATTCCGTTGTTACTGAACGTAGCACTCATTGGGTTGTTTTGGGGGTTCCCATTGTTAGAGTGTTTGCCCTAAAAATGTTTTTGTACTTTTGTTAGCCTTGGGCCCTCTCAAGCCTCTTGGTGCTTCCCTCTTGTGTGTGTAGACAGTGCCATTTTGGCAACACAAGCAGCAGCGCTCAGAGCCTGAACATCAGAAATGGAGGGAACAGTTTTAAAATCGAACCTGAACATTGATCCCATTTCAGCTTATGTGGGCATGCCAAAGAACGCTCTAACACTTCAGCATTTGCCTCTTAAACATTTGAGTGAGAGCATTATCTGAAAGTGCACCGAGAACTGCTGGTGGTCCCAAGCCACAGTTTAACCAATGCTGCTTTAAGGCCTCCTTCACACCTGCAGCTTAAGAACCACCCCCACATGATGCAATCTGGTGTCTTAGGGGGGCATGTTATGGGAATAATGCAAGTACATGTGTTGGGGCAATTGAGTGCGTCCCTCAATGTGTTTGCATTATTCACACATTTCCCCCTGCCCCACTGCAGTTTGGGATTGCTTCATGCAGAAGTGGCTTCCAAACTGCTGGACTTGTAGCATTGTAAGAGACCCCAAAGGCCATCCAGTAAAGGGGTTTACAGCATCAGAGACAAGTACACATAGAATGAGATACTGGAAGAATAGCCCTCGACCACCAGCTCCAAACACTTTTTCTGCTAGAGTCATTCACTTGACGGATGCTGTGGAGGTGGCCCTCAACAGAAGAGGAACAACTCACATCCGAGTGTCTCGTCAGCACTGAAATTTATACCACAGGAGAATATAGTCCTCAATAAACTTATTCCAAAGGCAGTAATCTGTGGGACAGATTGCAGAGTTTGGGACTTGCCTTACCCTTGCAAGCCGCTCTCCTTTAGGGAGGGGAAAACTGCCCCTGCAACATCTGAGATGGTCTCAAGCCAATCCTGTCTCACAGATCACACTCTCCCACTCTGTGTGCTCTGTGCCAGGCACTGGCTGCTCTTGTGTTGTCACAGGATCATCAAGGGCCAGAGGCAGATTTATAAGTATGTGCAGAATTAGGGCCTAGTATGACTGAGTACCCCCCAAAGTTACTAGTATACCTTGTTAACTGAGAGGGTACCTTTGAAATTTGACTTTGCTGAATTCCATACCCTCTGATGAAAATAGGAGCATCCTATTCCATTATTATTATTATTATTATTATTATTATTATTATCCCGCCCATTTGACTGGGTTGCCGCAGCTACTCTGGGAAGCTACCAACATATATAAAAATATAATAAAACTTTAAACATTAAGAAGCTTTCCTATACAGGGCTTCCTTCTAAAGATGTCTTCTAAATGTTGTATAGTTACTTATCCTCTTGGCTCGGGGGTTGCCTAACTCCATACCCTCCAACATTTCTCCAGTGAAAATAGGGGCGTCCTAAGGAAAAGCAAGACATTCTGGGATCAAATCAGAAACAGGGACGACTTCTGTAAATCCGGGACTGTCCCTGGAAAATAGGGACACTTGGAGGGTCTGGAATTCCAGTCTTTTAGTTGTGTTATTTCCACTTTTCATTTCTCCTACTTCTTATTTCAAGCCAGGAAGCACTGGTCCATTAGGGCAACCAGCGCTGAGTCCTACCAAGCGAAATGTCAAGCAATTTTAAAAAGAAGCCCCCCACCCCGCTCATCTCAAAGCCACAGCCTTTCCTATCCCATACATCCTTCCGTCATAATTTAAAGAGGTTCAGGGAGAAATTTCCATCAATCTCCCATTCTCTGACCAACCAGTTACCTCCCTCCCAGCTTTGGGTTGAGCCAAGCATTTGTCACCACCACAATTTAGTTTGTTTGTTAACTAGGAGTTTGTCCAAGGCTAATTCTGAGCAAAGGAGCAAGATGACGATGACGGCAGCATGGCTACAAAAGCATAAGCAGAAACTGCTGGCCTGCCTTGCAGAGAAGTTGCTGGGATGGTCTTGTCACTGGGGTGAAGCCCAATATATCTACAGCCCTCTTCAGCAAGTGTTGAGTTGCCCAGGCAACTCAATCTAAAGAGGAATCTTCCTCCACTGTTATTGCTAGGCAGGGGAGAGAACTGTTTTGCTGGATCAGCAGACTATGCACCATTTCACACTAACCTTGCCTGCCTGGAAGACAGGAAGAGCGGTGTTTGGTCTCCTCTGGGCTCTGTGCATGTATGTGTGCACATGGATAGATGAGAGTGTATGAAAAAATGCAGTTCTAGGTGTGCTAGAATACATACAGGTCAGTGGAGGGGGGAGGACGCATGTCACTTACAGAGTAAGCCAGTGTTCCTCTGTGTACATGTTGTTAAAGACTGTGCTGTGGCTATGTTTTTGTAAGATAAGAGTATGGCGGCCAGGAGAGTGTTAATGAAGGTAGAAGATGCCTTACTAGACCCAGCAAAATTGCTAGGTGCAGTTGTATTTTTAGGGAGATTGGCTGAGTCCTCTCAAAAGCTTGCCTTCTGAATGGCTGGAAAGATCTGAAGGGGGTGTGAATATGACACTATTGATCGATATGAAATTGGCCATGTATTCAGGCAACATGGTCCTGTTTAATCCAAACGTGTCTATTAGTTCTTTTCAAGACAAGGGAAATCCCAGGTTGACTTTTAAGTACTAATATTTTTAGTTAAGAACAGCAGTGGAGCTAGGGAGGGATCCTCCCCAGCCCACCCACCACCCAGTGTGATTTTCCCCAATCAAAATCCCTCCTCTCCAATGGAAAGAAGCATATGGTGTGTGACTCCACAATTTTTAATTGAATGCAAACGTTCAGGACAAATTCATGAAGGATAAGCTTATAGAGGGCTGCATTCTGCATCTGCTGTTGGAGAGTGTATGCCTCTGAATACCAATTGCTAGGGATCACAAGTGTAGAGAATGCTGTTGGACTGAGATCCTGCTTGTGAGCTCCTCATAGGCATCTGATTGGTCACTGTGATAATGAGATACTGAACTAGATGGACCTTTGGCCTGGCTGAGCAGAGCTCCTCATATGTCCTTAGGTGGAGCCCAAATCAAGAACTGGGGCCTGAACAAAATGTCGTCATCGCTTATTAAGCCTCGGGCCATCCGAACCATGTTTCCATGCCACAGGGAAGATGTTCCTTAGAAGTGTCCTAGCAACATTTCTGTCTTAATGTTTTGCCATGCTTTCAGGCATGGTGTCCCATGGTGTCCCATTACTTTGCACTGGGGACAAAGAAAGAGCCTGCTTTAGTATAGCCCTGTACCACAAAATAAGCTTTGGGTCATCTCGTATCAATCATATGACCATAGCTCTGGGAGACTCACCTCCATACAAACAGAGGGTGAGAGAAATCGATGGGGCCATCTGTAAAGGCAGTGGTGGACTTTGGGCTCTCAAATTTCAGTGGTGCCCTGTGCAGTGCTGAAATTTGGTGCTCCCCTGCCTCTCGTGCTCCATTTTACAGCACTGTTTCAGCACTCCCTGCAGCACGGCGCCCAATACAACTGCACTGATGGCTCTACCCTAAATCCACCTCTGCTAATGGCTAAAGCTTTCATTGTTATTGTTTACTACAGCAGACTTGACATCTAATTTATATGTTACCAGAACAGTTGGAGGTTCCTTCCTCACGGGTGGAATTATCCATGCTGCTCTGGTAATGTGGGTCAGGTGAATAATGATACAGTTCTTTCCTCTACCAGCATTGATCTGCTCCTGGGGGTTGGCAATGCTGATTTGGAAAGAAAGCATGTCATTTCCCCAAACTGTCCTTGCTTCCTTCTTCCAGATGATTTGAGAGTGGCATGGAAATCAACATGCAAAAGCAGGGCTGGCCTGACACATTTTGCCGCCTGAAAAACGTCAAGATGGCGCCCCCTCACATTCCATATACAAAAGCAAACCAGGCTGGTGATTGAATCTGACTTTAGCACTGGTGATGGGACAGTGTCTTCCACTGCACCTGAGGGCAGCAGAATAGCTTAGGGGTGCAGGGTATGTGTCACACACCTCTCTCTCCTCCAAGCTCCGCCACCTGAGGCGACTGCCTCACTCTGCTTAATGGTAGGGCTAGATTTGTGTGGAAGGCACTCCCATGCTCCCCTAGAACTGGCCTAATCTTGAATGCTAACATTTGTTTAGCCCTCAGCTTGGATTTCAAACATGGTAGCTCATCACAGGGCGGTGGGGGAGGGGACTGAATGAGAGAATATCTGTAAAAGTATTACACCCTCCCCCAAAAGTGACGGAAACAATAGAAGGGAGCATCAATGGCGGGGAGATTGACCTGACTTTCAGAGGTTTAGCGTGGCATCAGCCAAGCAGTCTAGCATAAATGAGGTTAAACTATAAAATCATTGCAAGCCTCTTCCTTAATGAGGTAGACACTGCAACTTTCAATATGTTGTTTCTTATGTAAGTTTGATAGGTTTTTTATTTTTTTGCTGACTTTACTGGATTAAAGTGTGGTCACTTCCAGGATTAGCTAATCTAGAGGGGGAAGGAAGCCTCTCTCATTTTATTTCTTATTTATGGTGGATAGTGTGGGATGCCTGGTGAATACCCCTACTGGAGACTGAAAAGGGAATTTACAAGGATGAAGTCTAAAGCTTGTTTCTAAAAAACTACTGGAATGAGGTGTACACACACACACACACACACTATTCAGAGCAACAGCACTGACAGTTTTGATTGAAAATGATTCTAGGTTGAGATAAGCCATCCTCAACTTTCTTAAGAGGGCGCACGCGCGCGCACACACTGCTTATTCTACCAGAAAGTGCCAGAGTCCAGGAAGATAGAGCTCATAGCAACCAATGAGGAACTTATTCCACCTACTAAGATGATGTCACTGTGTGCAGAAGAACCACCACTGCCTGTTCCCAAGAATGACCCTGATAAGGTGTCTCCTGGGAGCATTTCCTTTCTTTCCTGAGGGGGAAATCAGCCCAGGGTGACTTAATACCTCCCGGATCAATTTCTGCTCCTGTGTAAGCAGTGATTTCATAATGCAGGCTTGTTAGGTTTCATTTTCTTTGCCCTGCATATAAAGGGGCTGGTCTTGCCCCTGTGGAAGTCAATGGCAAACTCTTCCTGACGTCACATTCTCAGAATAAGGGGCTCTTGACTGGACCAAAATGTGAAGGGGTAGGAATTTTTTATTGGCTCTGTTAGATTAGCTGCAGGATCCAGCAGTTACCTGTATTCAGTTGAGGAAAGTTTTCCCAGGTTGCCATGGCTCTTCAGGTTATTGGGATCTCACCTGAGGAGATTCCATCCTCCACTTCAAAAATCTGCTAGCCTGTTAATCTGAAATTTGATTTCTGGATACACTCTTGGGTTTTGTTGGGTTTTGTCAACTGCAATAAGAAAATTGCTCAAGTAAACAGAATTAGAATTATATTGAGGCTGTGGCCTTGTCATGACCCTTCCTGCGCCAGCCCAGATAAATGTTTGCAGGAAAAAAGTTAGAAGCTAGCTCAACCACATGAATACCACCTTTCATCTTATTTACTGATGCCCCTCAAGGCCTTCACCTAGGGCTTGTCGGAGAATGTGGTTATAATTGTGCTGCCATATTTTGAAAGTACCACACATACCAACCAGAGCAAGAACTTCCTGATGGTGCAAACTGTTCAACCGTGAAACAGACAGTCTCAGAAGATAGTGGGCTCTCCTTTATTAGAGGTTTGTAAGCTGAGGCCACATACGTTGCAGGAGGGGACTTCCTACTTTGGCAGAAGGTTGAAGTAGGCAGTAGTGTCCCATGAGCTGGGGTAAGGTGAAACCTCAGAGCTGCACTCCTGACATCAGCATCACTGCCACTCAGAAGCATAGCATGGGCGGGGCTGGGGGAGCTGCTGCCCTGGGCATATGACAGGCCCCCTTATCAAGGCCAGAGCAGCAGGGAAGGAAGCCACACCTGAGCTGGGCCTTCAGGGCAGGGGTGGTGGCAGCACCTTTTGCTCATGGCCAATGAAGGGACACCCACTGGACCAGCCAAGAGGGGGAGGGTGTTACTGCCGCTGCCCCATCATGCCTCTCCTCTCCTCTGTTTGGCTCCTCATGTGATGTCCCAGCACTGACATGCCAGAGCTCCACTCTCGGATCAGGCCTGACCCAGGGCAGGAGAGGAGAGGCAGCTGCAGCATCACTATGTTTTTCCTCTGCTGGGCTCCAGTGTGTGAGGGAGCTGCACTGCAGTCCACCAGCAAACTATGCTACACCACTGAGGAGCAACTGCAGTCACCTCAATTACCTTTTAACAGGCTAGATAAAGTCACAGTTGATTATTATAGCAATGAGCACCCCAAAGCTCCAGTAATGGGGGAAGGAGTTAGGGGGCCCTTAACAACATCTGCATGCCCAACACCATCTACCCAAAATTCTGCCCCCTATAGTCTTCCAAAACTGCAACTGACGGGGCTTCCCCCTCTGACCTCCTGGTATTTAAACCACTGGAACACCCTCACCTAGTTCATTGTGTGTCCTACTGAATTGTGTCTCATCCCTATCCCATTATAGTCAATGTGTTCATTCTGTGTTCCAGTACTGCATGTGCAGTGGTTGGTTCCCTCAAGCTACTTTGTCTCCCATTCGATTCTGGCAGCACATTCTGTTCCAGTCATTCCTATGTCACCAAGATTTGTTGTTCTCCACAGGGATCAAGAACTACCAGGAAGGAAGATGGTGGCAGTGACATATACTCTGAACATCCACTGGTACTTCTTGCTGCTAAGACACAGGTCACTTTGAACTAGACCATGGGGACAATGGTAAACAAAACTAGGATCAACTCTACCCAGGGTTTCGATGCCTTCTCTTCACTTGGAGTGTCCCAGTTTCAGGAGGCCATTGGCATTTTCTTCATGGTCATGCTGAGTGTCATTGCTTTGGTTGCCAACACAGCAGTCATGGTAGTCATCCTCAAGACGCCTTTGCTGAGGAAGTTCATCTTTGTCTGCCACCTCTGCCTAGTAGATCTGCTGTCTGCCATTTTTGTCATGCCGCTGGGGATCATATCCAGCTCCACCTGCTTCAACAGGGTATTGTACAGCATCGCCGAATGCCAGACTCTGATCTTCCTGAATGTTTGTTTCATCAGTGCCTCCATCTTCACCATCTCAGTCATCAGCATCGAGCGCTACTACTACATTGTCCACCCCATGAGGTATGAAGTCAAGATGACTACCGGGCTCGCAGTTACCGTTGTGGCTTTCATCTGGGTTAAGTCCATCCTCGTAGCTGCTTTGGCACTCGTGGGTTGGCCCCAAGTCGACGGGGCCAGCAGTGCCAGCAAGTGTACTGTGTACTGGAGCCCAGGTGCCCACAAGAAGATCTTTGTGATCATCTTCAGCACTCTCTGCTTCATACTGCCCACCTTAATCATCTTTGCGGTCTATGGCAGCATCTACAAAGTGGCCCGGATCGCATCCTTGCAGCATGCTCCTGTCCCATCCTGGACTGCCACACCCAGACCAAGATCAGACTCCATTCACAGCCAAGTCACTATAATCACAACCAGGAATGCACCTCCCAGGCCGTCACCAGAACGCTTGTTTGGTGGGAATAAAGCTGCCCTCACCTTGGTCCTGATTGTAGGTCAGTTCCTCTGCTGCTGGCTTCCATTCTTCTCCTTCCACCTCCACTGCTCCATCAACTCTGCCTTGACCATCCCCAGTTATGGTGAAATTATTGTGACCTGGCTTGCCTATTCCTCCTTTGCTATCAACCCTTTTTTCTATGGGCTGCTGAACCGTCAAATCAGGGAAGAGCTGTCCAAGCTGGGGCGACACTGCCTCAGCAAGCCCCTGAGCCAAGAGCTGTGCATCTCCAGTCCAGAAGGGTCCATCCATGAGAATTTCCTCCAGTTCCTGCAGAGGACCAGTTGCACAACAGAGACCCGTTCTACATATGTGAATTCCAGCCCTAGGAACACTTTGGACCAGACTACAATGGGGTTCCGGATCCCAGGACAGATCCCAGAAGAAACCAACTGACGAAAGACCAGTGCTTTCAAGTCACTTCAGCCATCTCTTTCCACCTGCCTTTTAAGTTAAGAGGGGAAGAACAGAAGGTTCAGTGCGCTGAAAGACCTGACCAAGCCTCCTTTAGGGAGGAATCTGAAATTGAACAATTGATTTTCTCTCTGAGAATAAATGTGATTAAACGGGTTGTTTGCTCATGGTTGCAACTGGTGGGATCAGAGCCAGGTGTACCATTAGGCTACTGCTGGCATCCACCTGGGGGAAGGGGGGGCACTGTGAAGCAGAGCACTCTCAACTATATTTGCAGACAGTAAGAGATAATATTGGAAGTGGAGGCCTTTCCACACTACCCCTCTCCAAAAGTGCTTGTTGGTGTAAGTGTTAAAATACTGGTTGTGGGCCAATAGAGCTGTTTCTCCCCAACCATTGGGAAAGGGCAGGTTTAGTTTTGCCATGGATAGATAGTGAAGGCAGTGGTAATTTATTTATTTTTTAAAATGTCAACTCCAGTGCTGGAGAGCATTCCTGCACAACCTCCAAAAGTAATTGGAAATGGTGGGGTGCTTTTAAACCCTCCAAAATGGCATGGATAGGGAAGGAGGGATGTGGCATTTATGCTACACCACTGATACCAGAGCAGTTTGTTTGCGCTATGGCTGATGGGAGTTGTAGTCCTTATCAGGTGGAGGGCAGCAAGTTAAGGAGAGCTGTAACAACCATGATCTACGCTGGATTCATAACTGCAGTGCTTTGGTTGAGGAGAAGAAACAGCATTTCCCCAACAACTCAGCGCTGTGGCATGGAAGCAGGGATGCTAGGTAGGGAAATGTTCACTGCATCACACTCAACAAATGGACAACCACTGTATATGCCCTAGACAAGAATAACTCTAGAATTCTGGGCACTGTAGTTTGTTAATAGTTACTGGGAATTGTAACTGTGTGAATCACGAACTTCAGGGCCCAGAATTCTTGGGGCGGGGGGATGAATGTGCTTTGAATGTGATTTAAATGTATAGTGTATGTGCAGCTGTAGATACAGGGGGCAGAATCCATTGCATTTGCAAACAGATGCTTGAAAGGTTTGTGCATTAAGATGGCTCTTAGGACGGTTTTCTGCTGTTTTGCCATAAAATTATTCAAACTCAGATAATATAATCCAAGCCTTCAAAGCCACTTGCCCCTGACTTTGTTTTGTGGCATAGGCAGAATGCGCCAGTTGCCAATTAATCTTGGTCTTCCTAAAAAATGGCAGGGGGGTTGAGAAAAGTCTGTAGACCCTTCATTTTTTGTTTTTTATTCAAGAGTAGAACAGCTATCAATCCCCCGGGGAACTTTAGAAAGTGAAGCTCTGTGAGGGAAATAGGGCCTCCCAAGAATTACCAGCATCCTTAGCAAACCACAACTCCCAGGATCCTTTGGGGGAAGCCACGATTGTTAAAGTGGTATAATAGTGCTTTAAATGTATGATGTGGATGTGACTGTCCATAGTGTAGCAACACCAAGTACAGATTTTTCTCTGCTTTAGGGTTAGGCATTTTCAAAAAGAGGCACCCACCAGTGTTCTTAGTGTTGAGTGAGTGATTGGTGCTCACAGAATTTCTCTGAAGAAGCATTTTTCAGTTTCCATGCTCTTTGTGAATAATCCTGGGTTGGTCAGAGATAGGACCATTAAGGAAAGAAAGGGAGGCGAACCTACACTGTAGGCCTTGTTCTCCCAATGAAGCCAAGCGAGAGTCAATTCATTCCAGCTGAGCAGAGCCATTGGTTCTGTGTAGCTGAATCCCTTGGTGATCTTGAAGAAAGTTCCACTGAAGCAGACACTTAAAGCAGGGGTGGAGGAGGCAGCTCCCAGCAGCCGGCTGAGCGAGACAGCGCAGTACCTGCCTGCCTAGAGGCACTTCTAGCAAGCCAGCCTTAATCTAAAGTGAAAGCCTCCTCTTGATTGGCTCCATGTGACAAATTTGGTCTGTCACAGTAAGATGCCAAAGAGTTGTTTGTGTCAGGGCATGACTTAGTCCTTAATTCATCAGTAGGGAGACACTCCATTTGTTCTAAGGGCATGCTCATGGGGTGCTGTTTATACAAATAACAGGAGATGGAGGTGATGGTGGTGATGTGGCTTAGCTGGCTTGGGCTGACTTTCTCACCAGCAGTGAGTTTTGGGTTATGTATCAAGGCTACAAACTTAGGCGCACAACCTCTCTCAGAGGAAGCCTCAGGTAGGACATGTTTTTGAGGAAACTTGCACAGGACTGGGCTTGTGGGCTGATGATTCTGGTACAAGGATTATGAATATGACATGCCTTCAACCTCCCAACAGAGGAAGCATTTGTGGAAGGAAGGAAGGAAGGAAGGAAGGAAGGAAGGAAGGAAGGAAGGAAGGAAGGAAGGCTCAGTCCTAATGATGCTGACCCTGTGGTCCTCTGGGCACTGTTGACTCTATAGCAGCCATCATTGCTGACCATTGGCCATGCTGGCTGAGCTTCTGGGAGCTGGAGTTCAACAACAAATGGAAGGTCATAGGGTCCCCATCCCTGCCATAGTTACTATCCACACTTATATTAACTAACTTTTGTTCTTGGAAGCAAAACTTCAGATTATTTCTGGTTTTGCATTGTATGTTTGATTAAGGAGTCCAGTTGCCTTTGATCCAACAAGGGAGCTCTATGTGCCAAAGCAGGCATCTGAACATGATGCAGATCAGCAATGCATATAAATGTACACCTCCATCCACATCACGGTGCTCATCCATATCCCACCAGCCCCTTTCGGTGCATGCATCCCCACTGAGGACCACCAGCAGTTGTGAGCTACGTTGCCTGAGCCTGGAGCTGGATGCATGCCAATTCTCCTACTTGATGGTTCCACCTGGTAGCTGATCATTTCTAAAGGGAGATGGCAGAATTAAATCTGAGATCGTATGCATGCAAGGCAAGTACCCATCAGCTGTGGTTGTTTTCTTTCTGAGTTCTTGGAGCCCTGCTTCAGTTTCAGCTGCAGGGTGGGGAAAACAGTTGTCCATGGCTGTGGCTGAATTTGAGAAAGGATCTCCACAAGCTCTCAGGAGACTAGAAAGGGGTGTGAGTGGGCATACTAATAACATTAATGAAAGAAGGTAACCTACGCAGGTTCTTCAGCATTAGGACACACATGATTTTTCTCCCGTCCCCCATCTCCTGCCGAGTCGAGGGAAGATGGGCAACTAGAAAACAGGCCCAACTTTCCCTTGCAAGGCTGCTTTGGGCCCATCTCATGCTGAAGTCCCTTCTCCCAGGGGATGGAAAAGAGAGCCGGTGTGGTGTAGTGGTTAGGAGCAGTAGACTCGTAATCTGGTGAACCGGGTTCACATCTCCGCTCCTCCACATGCAGCTGCTGGGTGACCTTGGGCAAGTCACACTTCTCTGAAGTCTCTCAGTCCCACCCACCTCACAGGGTGTCTGTTGTGGGGGAGGAAGGGAAAGGAGATTGTGAGCCGCTTTGAGACTCCTTAGGGTAGTGATAAAGCGAGATATCAAATCCAAACTCCTCCTCTTCTTCTTTCCACCGCATGCAACATGTCATAACTAGGGGGGCTAGCAGGCCCCTTAATTAGACCCACAGACTCCTTCTCCCCATTTCAGTCAAAGAATGCCCCCAAACCCATATAGAAACACTTGCTAATGGGGCCAACTCCCTGTAAATTCAAACATGGCATGTAGAAGAAGTCTATGTGGGGGAAATGGTTGAAGATGCTGTGACTTTGCTCAGGGGTGGACTATGTTACTACACTGCAGTGCACCAACCGACCGACCCACCTCACTTTGCTTCATTATGGAGATTTTCTCTGAATGTTGGTTTTTTTAAAAATGGAAATCTGATTTCTGTAATTTGTTGGATCCAGCAAGCAAAAAAATAAATAAATCCAAAACAAAACTCCAACTGTTGTAAAAACAAATAAAGCATTAAATGGCTGCTGGTGGGTGATTTTTCAGTGACACTTTACCTCACTCTCTTGTCTCACTTACATGATTTGGGGACATGTACCCACATGGAAAGCCCTCTCTGGCACAGCTGAATCACTGTAACTCCACTGCTTCCATTAGTATTTGATTAAGGAGAGATTAGGCTAACAAAGCATGGCTTATCTTTGGACAGCTAAATCTGTCCAAAGTCAGATCTGTGTGGTGACTGAAAAAAAATAAAGCAAGCTACAGTAGTTTATGGTACTTTCATTTAAAGCACGCATGGGGCCCTCCAGATGTTGCTGGATTATAATTCCCATCAACCCCGATCATTGGTCATGCTAGCTGGGGGTGATAGGAGATGGAGTCCAACAACATGGGGTGGCCCCAGGACCTCCACTCCTGCTTTAAAGCTCCTTCACTGGGAATTACACAGCCTCCCAGCCAGAGAGAGGAGGACGACGATCCAATGAGCGACAGCTAGCAGAAACTCCCAGCAGAATATCAGATCACGCAAAGTTCTCCTATGTGTGAACTGCCAGAGCCCCATTGCAAAGAACATGGTGTCATAGAATCATAGAATCATAGAATCATAGAGTTGGAAGAGACCACAAGGGCCATCGAGTCCAACCCCCTGCCAAGCAGGAAACACCATCAGAGCACTCCTGACATATGGTTGTCAAGCCTCTGCTTAAAGACCTCCAAAGAAGGAGACTCCACCACACTCCTTGGCAGCAAATTCCACTGTCGAACAGCTCTTACTGTCAGGAAGTTCTTCCTAATGTTTAGGTGGAATCTTCTTTCTTGTAGTTTGGATCCATTGCTCCGTGTCCGCTTCTCTAGAGCAGCAGAAAACAACCTTTCTCCCTCCTCTATGTGACATCCTTTTATATATTTGAACATGGCTATCATATCACCCCTTAACCTCCTCTTCTCCAGGCTAAACATGCCCAGCTCTCTTAGCCGTTCCTCATAAGGCATCGTTTCCAGGCCTTTGACCATTTTGGTTGCCCTCCTCTGGACACGTTCCAGTTTGTCAATGTCCTTCTTGAACTGTGGTGCCCAGAACTGGACACAGTACTCCAGGTGAGGTCTGACCAGAGCAGAATACAGTGGCACTATTACTTCCCTTGATCTAGATGCTATACTCCTATTGATGCAGCCCAGAATTGCATTGGCTTTTTAGCTGCCGCGTCACACTGTTGGCTCATGTCAAGTTTGTGGTCAACCAAGACTCCTAGATCCTTTTCACATGTACTGCTCTCAAGCCAGGTGTCCCCCATCTTGTATTTGTGCCTCTCATTTTTTTGCCCAAGTGCAATACTTTACATTTCTCCCTCTTAAAATTCATCTTGTTTGTTTTGGCCCAGTTCTCTAATCTGTCAAGGTCGTTTTGAAGTGTGATCCTGTCCTCTGGGGTGTTAGCCACCCTCCCAGTTTGGTGTCATCTGCAAATTTGATCAGGATGCCCTTGAGTCCATCATCCAAGTCGTTGAT